CAGACGTGTGCTCTTCCGATCTCCCCAAAACCCCAAAACCCCAAAACCCCTTGGATTAAAATCATACTGATTACAATTGGTAACAAAAATTAAATATAGAAACTGCTTACATATAATAGTTAGAATATTAACTTATATTGTGAGGATAGTCGGAGAATCTTGAGTAATGGAAAGTTCAATACCAGAATCAGGCAAATGGAAGCATTTATTAAGAGCTTTGGTTTCAGAATTTTGTGGAGCAGCACTAACAGTCTATGCTTTCAACTTCACTACAGCTTATTATTAGGCAAGAGCTTTTGCATATTTCGTTGGGTGGTTGATGGCAGTTTCTGTTTCAGGAGCACACTTTAACCCAGCAACCACGCTTGGAGTTTTTCTATCTGAGGGAAAATACGGCAAATAAGTTGTTAGAATGCTCCTTTACTGGCTTTTTTAACTAATGGGAGCTTTTGCTGGTGTACTAATCACTTATCTTATTTTTAATGAGCCAGTTGAGGGATATCTTTTATGGCCACTAGAATAAAATCCAGATGTAGCCACAAGGTTTTTTTCTGAATCAGGAAATCTGTATTACGCAAAGATTTGCTTTTTGGAGGCATTGAATACTTTTACCTTTGTTTACGTGTATTTGTTGGTAATATATAAGCCTCAACTTAGGACAGTAGATGAAATTATAAAAGGTTTAGGAGTCGCTTTAACTTTATGGATTTGTTATGAATTAAGTGCAGGATCAGGTGCTTGTTTGAATCCTGCTTTGGCAATCGCCTAAGTAAGTTACTAAGTCGGTTTCCTAAATGGGATGGATTATAATGGTAACAGGTTTGCAAGTCCGATATGGTGCTATATTGTATTCCCATTAATAGGTGCTATAGTTGCAGCAGTATCGTTTAGAGTTCACATTAAGCTTGAAAACTCTGCACTTAAACAAGATGCAGGAGAAGCAGCTGTAGCTGAATGAATGCTATTTTATTCCAAACTTCTATTTTGGGCAGAATTTTCACTTTTTAATTATTAAAACCAACTAGTCTATCAAAATCTTCTATTTTAATACCAAGGGGTTTTGGGGTTTTGGGGGTTTTGGGG